CTCAGGTAATCCATCCACTTCAGCCTCCCAAAGTCCTGGAATTATAGGCGTGAGCCACCGCATCTGGCTAATCTTATTATTTCTATACATAATATATGATATTTTGACTGGGCACAGCAGCTTACGCTTGTAATCACAGCACTTTGGGAGGCCAAGGCAGGTGGATCACCTGAGGTCGGTGGATCACCTGAGGTCGGTGGATCACCTGAGGTCAGCAGATCGAGACCAGCTTGGCCGACATGGCAAAATCCCATTTCTACTACAAATACAAAAATTAGCTAGGTGTGGTGGCACACACCTGTAATCCCAGCTAGTCTGGAGGCTGAGGCAGGAGAATTGCTTGAACCCGGAAGGTGGAGGTTGCAGTGAGCCGAGGTTGCGGCACTGTACTCCAGCCTGGGAGACAGAGCGAGACTCCATCTCAAACAACAACAACAACAACAACAACAACAAAAAAGGCCAGGCACAGTGGCTTATGCCTGTAATCCCAGCACTTTCAGAGGCCAGACAGGCTGATCACAAGGTCAAGACATTGAGACCATCGTAGCCAACATGGTGAAACCCTGACTCTACTAAAAATACAAAAATTAGCTGGTCGTGGTGGCACACGCCTGTAGGCCCAGCTACTTGGGAGGCTGATGCAGGAGAATTGCTTGAACCTGGGAGGCAGAGGTTGCAGTGAGCCAATAGCGTGCCACTGCACTCCAACCTGGTGACAGAGCAAGACTCAGTCGCAAAGGAAAAAAAAAAAGTTTATTTTTGGATTGGTTCCCTTTTTTTATTGAAGATTCCCAAAAGGCTTTTAGAGGGTTTTAAATTTTTTCTTTAATTTTTTTTTTTTTTTTTAAATAATAGAGATGGGGGGTCTCCCTATGTTGCCCAGGCTGGTCTCAAACTCCTGGCCTCAAGCAATCCTCCCATCTCACTCTCCTAAAGTGCTGGGATTACAGATATGAGCCACCATGCCCAGCCAAGTTTAGCTTTTTCACAATAAAGGAAAGGAACAGTGTCAATCCATGATTATCAGAACAGCAATTTAGTAAGATCATCTTCAGCTGGGCACGGTGGCTCACGCCTGTAATCCCAGCACTTTGGGAAGCCAAGGCAGGTGGATCACCTGAGGTCAGGAGTTCGAGACCAGCCTGGCCAACAGGGTGAAACACCTGTCTCTACTAAAAATAGAAAAATTAGCCAGATGTGACCAGCCTGGCCAACAGGGTGAAACACCTGTCTCTACTAAAAATAGAAAAATTAGCCAGATGTGGTGGCAGGTGCCTGTCATTCCAGCTACTTGGGAGGCTGAGGCAGGAGAATCGTTTGAACTTGGAAGGCAGAGGTTGCAGTGAGCCAAGATTGAACCACTGCACTCCAGCCTGGGCAACAAAGTGAGAATTCATCTGAAAAAATACTGATAATAATAAGATCATCTTCAGAACTCAGTTCCTGGTGCATGAAGAGATTCCATACAGCCCCCTCACTTTCAGTTCTTAGAAAGAAGAATATGCCAGCCTGACCAACATGGTGAAAGCCCCGTCTCTAATAAAAGTACAAAAATTAGCCAGGTGTGGTGGCGTGCACCTGTAATGCCAGCTACTCAGGAGGCTGAGGCAGGAGGATCACTTGAACCTGGGAGGTGGAGGTTGCAGTGAGCCCAGCCTGGGTGACAGAGCGAGACTCATTCCCACCCCTCAAAAAAAAAAGAAGAAGAAGAAGAATATGAAAGAGATAGGATCAATAACTACCTTCATTGTTTAATAGCCTAAGAGTGAAAACCAAACACAGTGGCTCACTCCTGTAATCCCAGCACTTTGGGAGGTTGAGGTGGGAGGACGCTTGAGTCCAGGGGTTCGAGATCAACCTGGGCAATATGTCAAAAACTCATCTCTAGAAAAAATACAAAAATGAGCCGAGTGTAGTGGCACCTACCTATAGTCCCAGTTACTAGGGAGGCTGAAGTGGGAGGATCACCTGAGCCTGCGAGGTCAAGGTTGCAGTGAGCCATGATTAAGCCACTGCATTCCAGCCTGGGTGGCACAGCCAGACCCTGTCTCAGGAAAAGAAAAAAGAAAAAAAAAAAGCCAAATCTTTTCATCCCAGGATGTCTGAAAATGACAGAGTCTATGGAGTATGGATGCAGAAAAGTAGTTATTCCTACCAGAAAAAAAAAAAAAAAGAAATGTGGACACAGCCACTCAAGATCAGAGACTCAACCAGTGAAAGCAATTAGCTTCAATTTCATTGTCACCAGGAGGGCACACACCAGAGAACCTGGGAGAAAGCCTGGGTTAGAGCCCTTAGCATTCTCAGTGTTACTGGTGCTGCGGTTCAACAACCTTTGTGGGAATGAGGAGAACCAGAGACCATCACCATCACTCCTAAAAAGGATACTATAGCAACAATGTGGCTGTCAAAAATCAGCTGGAGGCCAGTTGTGGTAGCTCAGGTCTGTAATCCTAGCACTTTGGGAGGCCAAGGCAGGCGGATCACCTGAGGTCAGGAGTTCGAGACTAGCCTGGTCAACACGGTGAAACCCTGTCTCTACTAAAAATACAAAAAATTAGCCGGGTGTGGTGGTGCGTGCCTATAATCCCAGCTACTCAGGAAGCTGAGGTGGGATAATCACTTGAACCTGGGAGGCAGAGGTTGCAGTGAGCCCCAGACTGTGCCACTGCACTCCAGCCTGGGTGACAGAGTCAGACCCTGTCTCAAAAAAAAAAAAAAAAAAAAAAACAGCTGGAGTTTAATTTATACACTGTTTGCAATCCAGACTGTATTTGCTTTCTTGTCAACGGCTTGAGATATGTGCAGGAGCTCCTTAAACATGTGTAGGTGACCTTTCTCTGTCGCCCAGACTGGAGTGCAGGGGCACAATCTCAGCTAACTGCAACCTCCACTTCCCGGACTCAAGCAATCCTCCTGCTGCAGCCTCCTGAGTAGCTGGGACTACAGGTGTGTGCCATCAAGCTTGGCTGATTTTTTGTATTTTTAGTAGAGACAGGGTTTTGGCATTCTGCCCAGGCTGGTCTGGAACTCCCGACCTCAAGGGATCCACCCATCTTGACCTCCCAAAGTGCTGGGATTACAGGTGTGAGACACCACTCCTGGCCCAGAAATACTTCATCATCAGAAATATTACTGGAGGGTGTAGAAGGGTACACTGATAATCCCAGCACTTTGGGAGGTCAAGGCAGGCAGATCCCCTAAGCTTAGGAGTTCAAGACCAACCTGGGCAATATGATGAAAGCCGTCTCTACAAAAAATTAGCCAGGCACGGTGGTGTGCACCTGTGGTCCCAGATCCTAGGGAGGCTGAGGTGGGAGGATCGCTTGAACTCAGGAGGCTGAGATTGCAGTTAGCTGAGATTGCGCCCCTGCACTCCAGCCTGGGTGACACAGTGAGACTCTGTTTCAAAAAACAAAAAAGAAATATTACTTATTTACAAATATTTCTTTCTTTTTTATTTTTAGAAACAGGGTCTCACTATTACATAATTATTATAAATCATAGCTATAATATATCTATAATATATATCTATTATATATAATAATAGATATAATAGATACATATTTATATATCTATTATATATATATATATGTATTTTTGAGACGGAGTCTTGCTCTGTCACCCAGGCTGTAGTGCAGCGGCACAATCTCCGCTCACTACAACCTCTGCCTCCCGGGTTCAAGTGATTCTTCTGCCTCAGCCTCCCGAGTTGCTGGGACTACAGGCGCCCGCCACAACATCCAGCTAATTTTTTATATTTTTGGTGGAGACGGGGTTTCACTGTGTTAGCCAGGACGGTCTCGATTTCCTGACCTCTTGATCCGCCCACCTCAGCCTCCCAAAGTTCTGCTGGGATTACAGACTTGAGCCACTAAGTCTGGCATCTTTTTTATTTTATTTTATTATTATTTTTTGGAAACAGGGTCTCACTGTGTCGCCTAGGCTGGAGTGCAGGGGCACAATCTCAGCTCACTGCAGCTTTGATCTCCCAGGCTCAAGCGATCCTCTCACCTTAGCCTTCCAAGGAGCTGGGACTACAGGCACCAGGTCCATGCTACTGGGCCCTGCTATTTACAAATACACTAGACTTGGGTTTTAGCTACTCTCTCAACACTAGGTGGGAAATGAATTGTTTGGAAGGCAGAGGAATAGAGGAGGGACCTGATTAGGAAGGTGGGGGTGCTCCAGATGAGAGAGGAGGTGCTGTGACCTCAAGGTCTGGGAAAAGTGGGTGAACGCAGGGCCCCATCAAGGCCCTCAACAAGGTCCCTCTCTGGTGCTCAGATGTTAGGCCCAGAAGACAGGTCAGAGGCCTGAGGTCAGTGGCAGGTCAAAGGTGGGAGTCCCCCCTGGTCCCCTTGGTGCCTTCCCTTGGAATGAAGTGACCAGCTGCCTGGAAAGGTGGGCAAGGGGGCAACAGGATGAGGTAAAGGCCAGTTACAAGTAGAATCCTGGAAGGTCGGGCGAGGTGGCTTATGCCTGTAATCTCGGCACTTTGGGAGGCCAAGGCAGGCGACTCACTTGAGGTCAGAAGTTTGAGACCAGCTTGGCCAACATGGTGAAACCCCATCTCTACCAAAAAGTACAAAAATTAGCCGGGCGTGATGGCACATGCCTGTAATCCCAGCTACCCGGGAGGCTGAGGCAGGAGAGTTGTTTGAACCAGGGAGGTGGAGGCTGCAGTGAGCCGATATCCCACTACTGCACTCCAGCCTGGGCAACAGAGTGAGACCCTGTCTCAAAACAAAACAAAAGCCAAATCGAATCCTGGAAAGACAGTGGCTCAGGGACTCAGCTGTCCCCAAATCACCTACCTTAGCTCTTCGTGCATGGGAGGGGGGATCCCCAAAATCTTCAAAGATAGGGAGATGTCCTCAAGATCTTCAAAGGTGGCCAGGCGTTGTGGCTCACGCCTGTAACCGCAACACTTTGGGAGGTCAAGATGGGAGGAGGCCATCTCAAGGCCAGGAGTTCAAGACCAGTCGGGGCAACATAGCAAGACTCTGCTTCTGTTTTTTTTTGTTTGTTTGTTTTTGTTTTTTTTTAATGTTTCCTTGAAATCTCACCTTAGCATCTAAACAGTGGTGCCTACAGGTTTCCCCATTAACTTCCTCTCTGGGAACAGAATATTCCCCTCCCCACCTAAGTTCAGCCGGAAGGAGATGCCTCATACCCCCACACCCAGGCTTCCCAGTGCTGAGAACAAAGGAAGCCAGTTCAGTTAGCATTTCCTGGCTAGGAACTGGGGGCCAGCAGTGCAACTGAGACCAGCCCTGTTCCTGGGGGAGACTCAGCAGTGCTGGCCAATTTGCAGAGCCCCGTCTGGGTCCCCCATTCTAGCCCCCCAGGGCCACAGCATCCCCTTCTCCCCACAGGCCTGGGTAAGGTGCAGTCCCCAGACTTCTGCAATCTTAACCGCTGTGCTTCCGTCTCAGTGGGAGGCCCCGCCTTTCCCCCTGCCTGCCCTTTGGGCACCTCAGGAAGGCACCTTCCTCTGTCAGAATGGCCACCATAGTACCATCCGTATCGTGGCCCGGGGCCTGCTGGACTCTGCTGGTCTGCTGTCTGCTGACCCCAGGTGAGGCTGGTCAAGCCCAGGAGGGCTGGAGAGGGCTGGGTTTTGGGGCTCAGTAGAAGGTGGAGGAAGAGAATGCAACACTCTTTGCATCCTGCCACACTGCGACTTGGCTGCTGACCCCGTATCCTCGGGAGAAAGTTCTGGTTCCTTAGTTCTGCCTTCAGGTGGTCAGGCCCCAGCATACGGCTTCTACGCCATCCCTCTTCCCCAACACACACACACACACCCCCCTCACGCTTCCTGCTCCATCTGAACTCCTGAAATTTGCCCTTTGCGTATGTGGTTCCCTCTGCCAGGATCACCTGTCCCTTTCACTTGCTAACTCTTACTTAGCTTTCAGTTTCAGGCTGGCATGGTCCCCTCCTCCAGGAAGCCTTCCCTGACTCACCTCCTCCTATGCTGGATCAGAGCCTCTTCTGGCCTCCTTCTCAGTTCTCCCTGGTCCCTGATGGATTCTGCCTTTCCCACTGGACCATGAGGGCGGGAACCCTTCTATCTCGGCACAAGGAAAGAGGTGTTAAATGGTGGGGCCTGCTGATACGCGGGTTGGGGGGCAACAAAACAAACACCAGGATTTCTTCATGTTCCTGAAGGTGCCCAGGGGCAGGAGTTCCTGCTGCGGGTGGAGCCCCAGAACCCTGTGTTTCCTGCTGGAGGGTCCCTGTTGGTGAACTGCAGTACCGATTGCCCCAGTTCTAAGAAAATCATCTTGGAGACGTCCCTATCAAAGGAGCTGGTGGGCAATGGCACGGGCTGGGCAGCCTTCCAGCTCAGCAACGTGACTGGCAACAGTCGGATCCTCTGCTCAGGGTACTGCAATGGCTCCCAGATAACAGGCTTCTCTGACATCACCGTGTACAGTGAGTCGATGTGTCCGGAGGTGGGACTGGTGTTGGGTAGTGGTGTGGGCAGGTGGCCGATGGCTCAGGAGAATGGAGACCCTCAGTTTGCAAAGAATGGACCAGGGTTCTGACCCAGAGCTCAGACTTGGACATTTGTGTGTGTGAGATACAAAGACATAGAGACACATCTCAATCTCATGCCAAGGCAGCAATTGTGAAATCAATTAACTTGGGCCCCAACCAGCATTTTTTTTTTTTTTTTTTGAGGGACAGAGTTTCGACTTTTTGCCCAGGCTGGAGTGCAGCGGCGCAATCTCGGCTCACTGAACCTTTGCCTCCTGGGTTCAAGTGATTCTCCTGCCTCCAGCCTCCCGAGTGGCGTGGGATTACACATGCACGCCACCACACCTGGGTAATTTTGTATTTTTAGTAGAGATGGCATTTCTTTTTCTTTTTTTTTTTTTTGAGACGGAGTCTGGCTCTGTCCAGCCCAGGCTGGAGTGCAGTGACTGGATCTCAGCTCACTGCAAGCTCCGCCTCCCGGGCTTACGCGATTCTCCTGCCTCAGCCTCCCGAGTAGCTGGGACTAAGGCGCCCGCCACCTTCGCCCGGCCTAGTTTTTTGTATTTTTTTATTGTAGAGACGGGGTTTCAACATGTTAGCCAGGATGATCTCGATCTCCTGACCTCGTGATCCGCCCATCTTGGCCTCCCAAAGTGCGAGGATTACAGGCTTGAGCCACTGCGCCGCCTGAGATGGCATTTCATCATGTTGGCCAGTCTGGTCTTGACTCCTCACCTCCAGGTAATCCGCCTGCCTTGGTCTCCCAGAGTGCTGGGATTACAGGCATGAGCCACTGCACCTGCCCAACAATGTTTTTTTTTTTTTTTTTTTTTTTTTTTTTTTTTTTTTGAGATGAAGTTCTGTCGCTCTGTTAGCCCAGACTGGAGTGCAGTGGTGCCATCTTGGCTCACACAGACCTCTTCCTCCTCGAGTCCCAGTTCAAGCATTCTCCTGGCCTCCCAGCTCCTGAGTAGCTGGGATTATAGCATGCCCCAGCATGCCCAGCTAATTTTTGTATTTTTTTGTAGAGATGGGTTTCACCATGTTAGCCAGGCTAGTCTTTAACTCCTGACTCGTGATCTGTCCACCTTGGCCTCTCGAAATGCGTGGGATTACGAGGTGTGAGGCCACCTTGCCTGACCCCAACAATAATCTCAACACTTTGGGAGGCCAAGGCAGGAGAGTTGCTTGGCCCAGAAATTTAAGACCAGGCTGAGCAAACATAGGGACACCTTGTCTCTACAAAAATAAATAAAAAATATTAGCTGGGGCCGGGCTGTGGTGGCTCACACCTGTAATCCAGCACTTTGGAGGCCGAGGTGGCGGACCCACGAGTCAGAAGATCGAGGACCATCCTGGGCGAACACCGTGAAACCCCATCTCTACTGAAAATACAAAAAAATTAGCCGGGTGTGTGGTGCGGGCGCCTGTAGTCCAGCAGTCCTTCTAGGGAGGCTGAGGCAGGAAAATGGCGTTAACCCGGAGGGACGGAGCTTGCAGTGAGCAGAGATTGCGCCACTGCACTCCAGCCTGGGCGACAGAGCGAGACTCCGTCTCAAAAAAAAAAAAAAAAAAAAAATTAGCTGGGCATGGTGGTACATGCCCGAAGTCCCAGTACTTGGGGGCCAAGGTGGGAGAATCGCTTGAGCCCAGGAGTTCAAGGCTATAGTGAGCTATAATTGCACCACTGCACTCCAGCCTGGTGCGAAAAAGTAAGACCCTGTCTCTTTAAGCAAAAAAAAGGGGGTACCCCTTTCAGTCAGCAGTAGGTGAATGGAGGTTTTTATTTTACACTTTTTTATACTTTTATTTTTAGAGACAGGCTCTCCCTATATTGCCCAGGTTGGTCTCAAACTCCTGGGCTCAGGCAATCCTCTTCAGTTTCTCCAGTAGCTGGGATTGCAGGCCTGAGCCACTGTTACCTGGCTACTTTTTTTTTTTTTTCTTTTTCTTTTCTTTTTTTTTTTTTGAGACGGAGTCTTGCTCTGTCCCCAGGCTGGAGTGCAGTGGTGCAATCGTGGGCTCACTGCAATTCTGCCTCCCGGGTTCAAGCGATTCTCCTGCCTCAGCCTCCTGAGTAGCTGCGATTACAGGCGCATGCCAACATGCCCGGCTCATTTTTGTATTTTTAGTAGAGACAAGGTTTCAACATGTTGGTCAAGCTGGTCTCGAACTTCTGACCTCATGATCCACCTGCCTCGACCTCCCAAAGTGCTGGGATTACAGGTGTAAGCCACCACGCCTGGCCTTTTCTTCTTCTTCTTTTTGTTTTTTGGAGATGGAGTCTCACTCTGTTGCCCAGGCTGGAGTGCAGTGGCACGATCTCAGCTCACTGCAACCTCCACCTCCCAAGTTCAAGAGATTTTCCTGCCTCAGCCTGCTGAGTAGCTGGGACTACGGGTGTGCACCACCACGCCCAGCTAATTTTTGTATTTTTAGTAGCGACGGGATTTCACCATGTTGCTCAGGCTGGTCTCAAACTCCTGGCCTCAAGTGCCTTGGCCTCCCAAAGTGCTGGGATTACAAGCGTGAGCCACCATGCCTGGCCTACTTTTTGATTTTATTTTTTTTATCCTTTGAGACAGAGTCTTGCTCTTGTCCCCCAGGCTGGAGTGCAATGGCGCGATGTCAGCTCACTGCAAACTCTGCCTCCTGGGTTCAAGTGATTCTCCTGTCTTAGCCTCCTTAGTAACTGGGATCACAGGCATGTGCCACCACGCCTGGCTAATTTTTGTATTGTGAAAATTCTTTGTAGGTTAGAGACATGAGTTTGCGCAATGTTGGCTCAGGTTGGTCTCAAACTCCTTTGACCTCAAGTGATCCGTCTCGACCTCGGTACTCCAAAGTGGTGGGATACAGGCGTGGAGTCACCTAGCTCAGTGTTTTTTTTTTGTTTTTTTTTTGAGACGGTGATCATCGCTCCTGGCCACCAGGCTGGAGTGCACGTGGCGGATCTCATGCTCACTGCAAGCTTCCGTCCTCTCCCGTGGTTCATCGCTCATCTTCCTGCCTCGCCTGTGCTTCCGAGTAGCTGGGGTTACTACAGGCGTCTTTGCCATCTCCATCGCTAAACCGAGCTACGTTTTTTGTATTTATTAGTAGAGGACAGGGTTTCACGTGGTCAGCAGGATGGTCTCGATCTCCATGACCTCGTGATCCGCCCGTCTCAGGCCTCCCCAAAGTGACATGGGGATTACAGGCCTTGAGGACCACCGGCGCCTACCGGCCTATTTTTTTTTTTTTTTTTGTTTGGACACAGAGTCGGATTGGCTCTTGTCAACCAGGCTGGCAAGTGTGCAAGTAGGCTATCATACTCAGGGCTCACTGCAACCTTTGACCTCCGTGAGGTTCAAGTGATTCTCGTGCACTTAGGACCTCACTTGAGATAAGCTGGGATTACAGGGCACCCGTGCTACCACGCTGGCCTTAAATTTTGGATGATTTTAGTAGAGATCGGGGTTCTCTACATGTTGGCAAAGGGCTGGTCTGAACTCACCTGTGGTCCTCAGGTGATCCGCCATCTTGGCCTCCCAAACACGTGCTGTCGGCAATGTACTCATGTACAATGAGCCACAGTGCCCACCCTGTATCGAGCCCAGATGGTTTTATGTAGTCGGATGTATTACCTGGGAGGCAGCCCGAGCCTGGGAGTGTCAAGTCTCCGTGACTGACTGTACCAGAGCATCTTGAGAGCCGCCAACAGGGGCTGGTGAACCAGGGAAAGCCCTGAGTGTGGTGGATTTTCTTTCCCTTTGACATGCAGGCTGATTGGAATGAGAAACTAACTAATCTCTGGGTAGAGGCCAAAGCAGGTGATTCAGGCCAGAAGGCTAGGAGAAGGCCAACGCACTCCCCTGACAATGATTATCCAGGAGGCGCCCTCTGCTACCTGTCATCGTTGTACTTGTGCGCTTAAGTAATTCACCTCCCCTCTCTGGGCTATATATTTCTCCATCCATAAAAGAGATAAAAAGGCAGGCGCGGTGGCTCACACCTGTAATCCCAACACTGTTGGGGAGGGCTGAGGTGGTGAACAAAAGAAATAGGTGAATCAACTTGAGGGCTCATGGGAGTTCCTAGATCAAGCCTGGGCCAACATGGTGAATCCCGTCTACTAAAATACAGAAAAATAGGTAGGCCGGCATATTGGGTGGTCTCTACACCCTGTTAAGATTACAAGCACTTTAGGAGGCCATACACGGTGGGTGACTCACCTCGGAGCGTCAGGAGTTTGAGACCTGCCTGTACAACATGGTGAATAGCACGTCTCACTACTGAAAAAACCCAAATAAAAGATATTAGCCAGGCGGAGGTGGCGTTGTGTCGGCCTATAATCCTAGGCTACTTGGGAGACTGGAGGTAGGGGAGATCGCTTGGAACCCAGGGCGAAGGCGGATGGTTTGCAAGTGAGCCGAGATCCTGCCACATGGCACTCATAGCCTCGTTGGGCGACAAGAGGAGAAAGACTCTGTCTCAAAAAAAAATAAAAAAAAAAAAAGGAAACGAGAGAGATGAAAGGGGCCGGGAATCGGTGGGTCGACCGCCTGTAATGTCCAGCACTTTTGGGAGGCCAGGGCGGGCAGATCACCTGGAGCTCAGGAGTATTCAAGAGCAGACCGTAGGCTGAATATGACGCGATAACTGCGCTGTTTCTCTTACTAAATAATGTATATCGAAAATTTAGCCTGAGACATGGTGGCATACTCCTGTAGCCCCAGCTACTCGGAATATGCTGTGTCTGAGGACAGGAGAATTCGGCGAGTGAACACCGAGCTCAGGGTTGGCGGAAGTTCGCATGGTGAGGCCATATAAGATCACACCATTTGCACTTCCGCCTGGGCATCAGACAAGAACTCCATTCTCGGGGAAAAAAAATAGTTAAATCTAGGAACTATTTGATTCGGTATTCTATTAGATATCTTTACCTTAGACCTTCAAGAGGTCATCCACCTTTCATGCACACAAAGCACCTAGTGAACATCTTCTCTATTCTTCTCTCTCTGTTTCTTTTTTTTTGAGGGACCAGTGTCTTGTCGTCTTGGCAGTTGCACATGGTCGTGAATACTCGGCTCACTGCCACTTCTGCCTCCCAGGTTCAAGCGATTCTCCTGCCTCAGCCTCCCAAGTAGCTGGGATTACAGGCGCACACCACCACACCCAGCTAATTTTTGTATTTTTAGTAGAGACAGGGTTTCACCATGTTGGCCAGGCTGATCTCGAACTCCTGATCTCATGATCCACCCATCTCAGCCTCCCAAAGCTCTGGGATTATAGGCGTGGGCCACAGCGCCTGGCCATAAACAGGAATTTGTAATATTAATGTCAAATAGTCATAAACGTTCATCCCTTCCTTCCTCTTTATTAATTTTTTTTTATTGTGCCATCCTGGAGAACAGAAAATTTTGTTTAGCGCCCCGCAAGGTGTCTGACAACACAGGAAATGATAATCACTGCACTAATGATAATAGCAAACGCTTTGGCCCAGTTCTAAGCCCTCTAAGTTTATTAACTTAAAGCTCACAGTTTTCGGCAGGACCGCCCTGTCTCCTCCCCAGTCCCTGGGGTGGGTGGGTGGGGTTGCAAGACCCGCTAAGTGCCATCCTCCCTTCCTCTCTCAGGCCTCCCGGAGCGCGTGGAGCTGGCACCCCTGCCTCTTTGGCAGCCGGTGGGCCAGAACTTGACCCTGCGCTGCCAAGTGGAAGGTGGGTCGCCCCGGACCAGCCTCATGGTGGTGCTGCTCCGCCGGGAGGAGGAGCTGAGCCGGCAGCCAGCAGTGGGGGAGCCAGCAGAGGTCAATACCACTGTGCTGACCAGCAGAGAGGACCACGGAGCCCATTTCTCATGCCGCACAGAACTGGACATGAAGCCCCAGGGGCTGGAACTCTTCTGGAACACCTCAGCCTCCCGCCAACTCCGAACCTTTGGTGAGAGAAGGGGCTTCAGACGGTGGGTGATGAGCTGAGTCAGGGTAGAGGGTGCCCTGGCCTTGGGGCTCATGAGAGTGGGGTGCCCCGGACCTCAGAGGCTTCTGGGAAGTAAAGCCCCAGGCCACTGGGCAGGGTGGCCCCAGAAGGGAGGCCCAAGCCGTGAGATCTTTGGAGAAGGCCGTTTTCATGGCCGTGTGTGTCCTGGGAAGAAGGGTGACGCAGTCGGCAAGAATTCCTGATGGGGGGGATGAAGGTGTCCTGAGGAAGGCACAGTCCTGGGGGTTGTGCTCATGCCCACCTTTCTCCCCAGCCCTGCCGGTGACCCCCCCGCGCCTCGTGGCCCCCCGGTTCTTGGAGGTGGAAAAGTCGTGGCCGGTGACCTGCACTCTAGACGGGCTTTTTCCAGCCTCAGAGGCCCAGGTCTACCTGGCGCTGGGGGACCAGATGCTGAATGCGACAGTCATGAACCACGGGGACATGCTAACGGCCACAGCCACAGCCACAGCGCGCGCAGATCAGGAGGGTGCGCGGGAAATCGTCTGCAACGTGATCCTAGGGGGCGAGAGACTGGAGGCCCGGGAGAACTTGACGGTCTTTAGTAAGAGGAGGCGTGGGAAGGGGGCGCGGCCTCAGCAGTCTGGGGGCGTGGCAGAGGGGGCGGAGACTAGCCGAAAAGGTGGGGCCTGACTTGCCCCAATAGTAGTTGCAACGTGGGCTGGGCCTGAGTGCCCGAAGTTGGACAAAGCCCAGAAAGAGGGCGAGGCTTGAACGCCAAAAGCGTGGCCCGGATATCCCGAGACGAAAGGGGAGGGCGGAGGGAACGGCTTGACCTGCAGGAAGGTCTTGTTCATTAAGCTCCTGGGCAATGCCCCGCCTTTAGGCTTCCTAGGACCCATTCTGAACCTGAGCGAGCCCAGCGCCCCCGAGGGGTCCACAGTGACCGTGAGCTGCATGGCTGGGGCTCGAGTCCAGGTCACGCTGGACGGAGTTCCAGCCGCGGCCCCGGGGCAGCCAGCTCAACTTCAGTTAAATGCTACCGAGAGTGACGACGGACGCAACTTCTTCTGCAGTGCCACTCTCGAGGTGGACGGCGAGTTCTTGTGTAGGAACAGTAGCGTCCAGCTGCGTGTCCTGTGTGAGTCGGTCACCCTGACCTTTAATCCCTTCACCCCTGCCCTGGAAAGATTAGACGCTCCTCTGCACCACCGTGCCTCGGGTGTGTTGGGTGTCTGATCACACATGGTGGTTCCACAGATGGTCCCAAAATTGACCGAGCCACATGCCCCCAGCACTTGAAGTGGAAAGACAAAACGAGACACATCCTGCAGTGCCAAGCCAGGGGCAACCCGTACCCCCAGCTGCGGTGTTTGAAGGAAGGCTCCAACCGGGAGGTGCCGGTGGGGATCCCGTTCTTCGTCAATGTAACACATAATGGCACTTATCAATGCCAAGCGTCCAGCTCACGAGGCAAATACACCCTGGTCGTGGTGATGGATATTGAGGGTGAGCTAACACTGGGCCGCGGGCCTGGACTGGCAAGCCGCGGGGGGTGGGGGGGTTGGAGACAGGGGGGACGCATATTGACTTAGCGCTTTCTCTGCACAGTTCCGAAGTCCCACTTTGTCCCTGTCTTCTTGGCGGTGTTAGTGACCCTGGGCGTGGTGACTGTCGTAGTGGCCTTAATGTACGTCTTCAGGGAGCATAAACGGAGCGGCAGGTACCATGTTAGGCAGGGGAGCACCTCTCTGCCCCTCACGTCTATGCAGCCGACAGAGGCAATGGGGGAAGAACCGTCCAGAGCTGAGTGACGCTGGGATCCGGGGTCAAAGTTGGCAGGGGCTTGGCTGTGCCCTCAGATTCTGCACCAATAAAGCCTTCAAACGCCCTAATCTGTGGTTTGATTCCACCCGCGCTGCAAGGCTCTCCTACCCAGGTGCACATCCACTGAGTAGCGTCGCTGCGACGGAAGGAGGCGGGGTCTGTGGCGCGCAGACGCACCTTGAACTCTTGAGAGGCGGGCTGGGGCTTAGCCAATGGGTTAAGGGGGGAGGGAACGAGGTGGGGCTTCTCTCAGCCAATCGACGGGCGCGCCCTCGTTGCCGCTCTATGCCGCTCCGCCCTGGCTCGCTGGTCCCAGAAGGCGCCGGGTTTCCCAAGATGGCGGCGGACGTGTCCGTTACTCACCGGCCCCCGCTGAGCCCGAAGTCTGGGGCCGAGGTCGAAGCCGGCGATGCCGCGGAGCGCCGGGCGCCAGAAGAAGAGCTTCCGCCTCTAGATCCAGAAGAGATCCGGAAACGCCTGGAACACACCGAGCGCCAGTTCCGTAACCGCCGCAAGATACTGATCCGGGGCCTCCCGGGGGACGTGACCAACCAGGTATTTGGGGGGGGCGGTGTAGGAGCGTGGCGGGAAATACCACGGTGCGCGTGCGCGGGGGGAACCGGGCGACACCAACGCTGAGGTGCGCGGGGGTCGTTGGCGGGGGCGTCCAAGCACCGGATCCACGCGGGATCGAGAGAGACCAAGAGCGGGATGTGGGGGGGCGGTGATGAAAGGGGAAACCGGCTGTGAAGTGAGGGAGGGCGTTGCTAGGGGCGACCACAGGCTTGGTCGACACCAAGTGATGGAAGGGGGCGGACAGCTTTGGTCCTGTTGGGGAATTGTGAATGGGCTGGTACATTGGACCACCAGTTGCCCCCTGCTTGGATGATGCTTTTCTCCACCCACTCTACCACAGGGTGGCGGGACCTCAAATCCAGAAGTTTCAGGACTGCGGAGAGTATGCCCCTCCGTCTCACGCGTTTATTCACTGCTCTCAGAGATAAATCCGGAAGTAACAGCAGCCCCTGGGTCTCAGCCCCCAAAACCTCAGGATTAATTTGGGAAAATGGGGTCTCCTGCCACCAGCCTACAGACCTACAGGAAGGAAGCGGGGCCTGTGTTCTATGGATCCCCTCGTGGCTAATCTTCCTGCTAGGAGTGCCCTTCTCATGGGGCCAGCATGGGGCAGCACTTCCCAATGCTCTTTGGACCCGGGGAAATGGCATCTATACTGCCCTGCCCTATGGCGGTGAAACAGGTTCTCGCTTCCTTCTGCTGAGAATCCCTGCTCTCTGGCCCACCAGCACACCTGCCACTGGCTCTCCCTGCCCATGGGTGGGCACCTGGCTAGTGGGACCCCAGGGATGTTGGGAGGGGCTGAATTTGGGGACAGATCGGGGCAGGCATCATTAAGAATGGTCAGGTTTGTTTCTGGGTCTTCCTCTCAGTGTCTGCAGTCTCTAAGCAGGAAACACATTGTTTCTCCTGCAAGATGCATAGTGTATCTGGCCCCAGCAGGACCCAGCACTTTGCCTTCAAAGCTGACTTGAGGCTGGGCACGGTGGCTCATCCCTTTAATCCCAGCACTTTGAGAGGCTGAGGCAAGAGGCTGTCTTGAGCCCAAGGGTTCAAGACTAACCTAGGCAGCATAGTGAAACCCCCATCTCTACAAAAAATTTTAAATAATTAGGCATGGTGGTGCGTGCCTGTAGTCCCAGCTACTCAGGAGGCTGTGGTGGGAGGATCACTTGAGCCTAGGAGGTTGAGGCTGCAGTGAGCTATGATCGTGCTATTGCACTCTAGCCTAGGTGACAGAACAAGACCCTGTCTCTAAAAAAAAAGAAAATAAATGAGCTGACTTGCAAGAGGGCAGCCTTATCAGGAGGAGGAAATTGGGAGGCATGTGAACCCACAGAATGTGGGGCTTACTAGTAGATGGGCTTCCCAGTCAGGTACCCGTGGGTGGCCGCGCTGCCCAACTGAATGGCCTCCAGCTGATCTCTTCACTTCTCCTAGCCTAGGTTTTCTCGTGTACAACATGAGTTTGTTAATACTTCACTTACAGAGTTGTTAGAAACAGTGAATCTTGCAAAAGGAGGTTCATGGAGGTTAAATGACTTCCCTAAAGGCATACTCCTTGTTTTTTTTTTTTTTAAGATGGAGTCTCACTCTGTAACCAAGCTAGAGTGCAGTGGCTTGATCTCTGCTCACTACAACCTTCACCTCCCAGGTTCAAGTGATTGTCCTGCCTCAGTCTTCTAAGTAGCTAGGACGACAGGCGCACTCCACTGCATCTAGCTGTTGTTTTGTATTTTTAGTAGAGATGGGGTTTCACCTTGTTGGCCAGGATGGTCTCGATCTCTTGATCTCATGATCCGCCTGCCTCGGCCTCCAAAGTGCTGGAATTACAGGCGTGAGTCCGGCTTTTTTTTTTTTTTTTTGAGACAGTGTCTCCCTTTGTCGCCCAGGCTGGAGTGCAATGGCACACTGCAACCTCTGCCTTCTGGGTTCAAGCAATTCTCCTACCTTAGCCTCCCGAGTAGCTAGGATTATAGGTGTGCGCCACCTATAACCAGTGGCGCCACCAGTAGCCACTCCTGGCTAATTTTTGTATTTTTAGTAGAGACAAGGTTTCACCATGTTGGCCAGGCTGGTCTGGAACTCCTGACCTCAGATGATTCACCCGCCTCGGCGTCCCAAAGTGCTGGGATTATAAGCATGAGCCACCCCACCCAGCCAGCTAAAGGTATACCCTTTAAGAGCATGTTGCCTGGGTAATAGCACAGTCTGCAGCCAGGTTCTGAATCCCAGCTCTGCCAGGTATGAGCAGAATGACCTTGGCCAAATTACTGCATCAAGCCTCAGTTTCCTCATTGGTAAAATGGGGGGTGGTAATTGACCTGCCTTCATAGCTGGTGGCAGCTATGAGGGCGGCACCAGGTTGCCCCCTTCCATCTCCAGTAACTCCCTGTCTTTTGTCTTGTATCTCCACAGGAAGTACATGACCTGCTCAGTGACTATGAGCTCAAATACTGTTTTGTGGACAAATACAAAGGGACAGGTTTGTGGGGCCATGGGGTGGGCCAGGGCAGGGAATGACCGTCCCTGAAGATGGGAGGGCCCTGGCTCACTGTCTGCTGTCTGAACTTCAGGCCCAGTATTGCCCCCCAGGCCAAAATGGCGGGTTGCCCCAATCTGCCTGTCATCCTGTCATCTTGGGACAGCCTTCGTGTTCTCCTTGAAGAACACTGGGCATTGGGCTGATTCTCTTCCAACTCCACTCGCTTGGCATTGAGCTAATTCTTGACAACGTTTGGCCGTGGGTTCATTCTCTTCCTACCCCTCTTGCCTCTTCCTTACCCAGCCAGTCACCCATGCTTGTGTGTTTTTGTTTTGTTTTGTTTTTTGTTCTTTGTTGAGATGGAGTCTTGCTCTGTCGCCAGGCTGGAGTGCAGTGGTGTGATCTTGGCTCGCTGCAACCTCTGCCTCCTGGGTTCAGCCCATTCCTCTGCCTCAGCCTCCCAAGTAGCTGGGATTATAGACATGTGCCACCACACCCGGCTAATTTTTGTATTTTTAGTAGAGACAGGGTTTCTACCTGGGTGGGTCCAGGTTAGCCAGGTGAGGAGGTGGGGCTCAGTGTTCCACGCTCAGGGAACAGCAGCTGTGAAGGCCCCTCTGGAGCGTGCCTGGTATGGTCGGATAGCAGTAGTGAGATGGGAGGGGAGGTCGGCGAGCCCACGCAGGCTGCACTGCACCCTGCAGCTAGAAGCCACCAGATGAATGTGGCGTGATCTGGTTATCATTTTGAACAAAGCTTCCTGTGACCTCTGGGTGGATTGCAAATCTGGGGCAGCATGTGGCAGCAGGGTTCAGGGCACTGGTGGCCTGGAAAGGTGGCAGGGGTGGGCAGTGTAGAGTGGGGCTCTGGAGTCCAGCTGCCTGGGTTCAAGTCCAGGCTCCCCTACTTGGGCACAGGGGTGCTGCTCTGGGCCCGTTTCCTCACTGGCAAAATGTTGGTTGTGATGATTAAGTTATAACCATTTGACAGATGAGGAAACTGATACCCCCAAAGCCACCTGGGGCTTGGGGCTTAAATCTGGGCCCCAGTGAGCATGGGCTTAACCACTGCCCTTGGTATCATCAGAGTGACCCACGGCGTTCTTAGGACAGAGCCAGGTCCACAGTTGGTGGGCGCTGCTATGGGTGCGGGTGGACGCAGGGCTGGGAGAGGGAGTGGGCTTCGTGGAGCCTGGAGTCAATAGCAGGCGCGCTCGCCTGTGTGAGTCGCCAAGGCTGGCAACTGTTCAGATCGGCAGGCACCTGAAATGCCCAGCATTTTGAGGTCCCACCTGCTTTGCAGGGTGGCAGGGTGGAGGGGAGGCCCTCGGGGCCTGGCTGACCTCGCACTGCCCTCTTCCGACCGCAGCCTTCGTGACCCTGCTGAATGGGGAGCAGGCCGAGGCCGCAATCAACGCTTTCCACCAGAGCTGCTTACGGGAGCGCGAGCTGTCGGTGCAGCTGCAGCCCACGGATGCCCTGCTATGCGTGGCCAACCTGCCCCCCAGCCTCACACAGCAGCAGTTCGAGGAGTTGGTGCGGCCCTTCGGCAGCCTGGAGCGCTGCTTCCTGGTCTACAGTGAGCGCACTGGCCACTCCAAGGGGTATGGCTTTGCCGAGTACATGAAGAAGGACTCGGCTGCCCGTGCCAAGTCGGACCTGCTGGGCAAGCCACTGGGACCGCGCACCCTCTACGTGCACTGGACGGATGCCGGGCAACTGACGCCTGCCCTTCTTCACTCCCGCTGCCTCTGCGTGGACCGCCTACCACCTGGCTTCAACGATGTGGACGCTCTGTGCCGGGCGCTGTCAGCTGTCCACAGCCCCACCTTCTGCCAGGTGAGCCCTGCGGAGAGCACTGGGGAGCAGGTGCCAGGCCCGGAGCACCTGAGGGAGTCCTTGGAGTCATCTGCCTTTTCTTTTTTTTTTGAGACAGAGTATCACTTTGTCAACCATGCTGGAGTGCAGTGATGCAGTCTCAGTTCACTGCAACCTCCGCCTCCTGGGT